GAAAGGAACTGATTCCATAATGTTCAACATCACGGAATAGGATGTATTCTCTTTGCAGAAAAAGTATTTGAATGGAGAAAAGAGAATACATCCTATTCCGTGATGTTGAACATTATGGAATCAGTTCCTTTCGATTTCTGGAACTCGGTCAGCGTGCTACAACACAGGCCTAATCAACATTGATGGAGTTCCGACAATTTCCTGAATTCCGGGAATTCGATTGAAACGAAATTAATTGGAATTCCGAGAACTGCTTGCAATTCCGGAATTCCGTACCAGAATTACTTCTCGCCCTCACCCTCACGTATCCTGTTGTGGTTGAAGATTAATCTCTGAAATAAATAAGTAATTCCGGAAACTCCTTGCAATTTCAGAATCGCTGGGAATTCCCAGGAATTCCTTCCGATTCCGGAATTGCTCTGAATTGCTTAAAATTTGAGGTAATTCCGTCTGGGCTTAGTTCCTGGATTTCCGGGAATTGACGGAAATCGATCATTATCCAGTAAATCTCTTAGGTTGAATGATGATAGAGTTCCCTGAATTGGATGGAACTAATTCCGGGGCCGGAACTGATTCCGCAATGTTCAACATTGCGGAATAGGATGACTGCTCAGAAAAAAACTCACACTGATCAACATCGTAGGTTTATCATTAAACATATACCTTCAAGCATTCCTGTTAAGACCAGTAAAGTCAATGAATGTGTCAGAAAAACTTCGATAATGACCATTTATTTTGGCATTTTTTAGGCGTCTCATCCTAAGAAAAGCTAGTAATACTCATACACTGATCATCATCGTAGATTCTTATATCATAAGATTTTACTCTTCTATAATTATGACTTGTCATTATTCTAATCGCAAAGCATTTACGTTAATTCTAACTTCCTTAGTATTTGAACTTTCTTCTTCAATTAAGTGGCAAGGTATATCAGCTAAATAAATAGATAAATTAAATAAATCAAAATGATTTCCTTTAATTGTCACTAATGTTCCTCCATTCATTGGTAATAATAATGGTTCAATTGTTTCTATAATAGGTGATAAACACTCTTGACTATTTGGACATATTAATTTATTTGTTATTGTTGTTTGATTTTTAAACATACACATATTATTACACCAAATACAACTAAAAGATGGATCAAGTTGTAAACATGATGTACAGTTTAATGCCATACGTTCACAATCATATAAAGAAACATGTGTACGCGGAATAATAAGTGACGTTCCATTTGTAAACAGTAT